TAACATCTTTTTCGTTTTTAATTTAAAAATAATTTTGTTCTTAATTAATTAATTTATTTTCTTTTAACCTCAAACCTTTTGTGGGTTTTAATTAATTTTTATTTGTTTATTTTTCTTTTTATTTTCGTTTTGTTGATTTTCACTCAAAAACTTTCAAATTTTCCATATTTCATCTATTACTTTTAATAAACTCACCTTTACCCTCAATTGGCAGATGATTGCACTTCATGATGGCCAAAACGGCCTGTGAAATATTGGGGAACTCAATTAGTCCCGATGAGGAACGTTCCGTTTTAAGTGGGAATAATCGCACCGATGTGGCGGGCACTTCTTTGATATTGAAAATGCCTATTAGCTGGTCTTCGGTTAAGCCAGGCGGTGTGTTGAAGAAGTGCAGAATCTGTGGTGCATAAAAAAATCAGCAAGTGAGGTTAGAAAATTTACAAAAAGTTTTATAATATTAACATGAACATGCGAAAAATTAAAAAAAAAAAAATGTAGAATAATAATATTTTAATCATTCAATATTTTTTTTAAAATATTTTATTAAAATTTGGTTAAAAAAACTGTTTTTTTTTTTACATATTTTTGCTTTTATCCTTTTGTCGCTTTTACTATTATGATTTTTTTTTGTTTCTTTAAATATATTTTTTCTATTTTTCCTTAAAATTTTTTCTTTATATATTTTTTTCAAAATATTTTTATTAAAATCTTCTCTTTATATGTATGTTTCATTCGTTCTTACCTTGCTCGGTGGTTGTATGCGATTTTTGCTTGCCTGTGCTGGCGACAGGAAGCGATTATTCTTTGAGCCGGTATACTCCTTAAAACTGGGTGTATGATCGGGTAATAAAAATGGATTTATAACTTCGGACAGGAAATTCTGTTTGGAGAAGGCAATCTGGATTTTGCCACCATTGCCGACGGGAATGTTGTTCAAATGTTGGACACAGCGTTCGACGGCGACCGAATCGCCCATTTGTACCATGGCGGTGCCCTCTTTGGTTTTCAGAAATTTAATCTAAAGATACAGATAACAAATTGGAAAATTTTGTAAAAAATTTATTCATCTAAATTTGTATTTTGCAAAGCGTTGTAGAAAGTGATTGCGTTGGATGAGAGTTTATTAAAAAAAAATATTTAAAAAATTTTGGATGTATTAAATGTTGCTCAACATGCTTAGCAACATAGCTTAACAACATCGCATATAATTTTTAATTTTTAGTAGTTTTTTCTAAAATTTTTCTTTGTCCCCAAAATGTTGCTCAACATGTTGCTAAGCATGTTTCGTAGTTAATTTCATTTATAACTATGTACATTTAATTGTCTTTGCTGAAATGTTTATACTTAAATGTTGCTCAACATATTGCTAAGCATATTTCGCAGTTAATATATATTTTATTAGCTTTATAGTAATTTCTTAAGTTTCGGTTTTAAAGTTTTCGTTAAAATTCGTATATTCAAAATGTTGCTCAACATGTTGATAAGCATATTTTGGAATAAATCATTGTTTATTGTCCTCATATTAATACCTTATAGTTGAATTGATAATTATCTTTAATAGTTTTAGCTGAAAATTTTACACTGAAACGTTGCTCAACATGTTGCTAAGCATATTTCATTTAATTTTTAATAATTTAAAATATTTATTTGTCCTTCCTTAAATTAACTAAGATTTATTAAAATTAAAGTAAAAAAACCTTTAGACATTTTTACTTAATTTAGAAAAATATTTTGTGTTCCGCAACATTTTGCGAAGTTTCGTTTTTTTAAGTCTATAGCTAAAAAAACACAAAACAATTAAAAATTCTACAATGTGTTATATTGGTGAAATTCTTAATTCCCCGTGAAAAATAAAAAAAAAAATATTTTTTAATGTTGCGCAGCATGTTGCGAGAAATTTTTATATGTATATAGTTGACAATTATTAAAAAATAAACATTTCTTGCAAAAAAAAAAAAAAAATGTTACGCAACATGTTGCTTGAGTTTTTATTATATGCTTTATACTATTTTATAATGTTTGAACGAAAATCATAAAAGTTAATTAAATAAATATTTCTCGCAACAGAAAGAAAATGTTGCACAACATGTTGCTAGAATTTATATTTCACACCAAAGACTTTATTTTTATATGCTTACTAAATTAAAAAAAAAAACATATTTGTCAAGAAAAAAAGAATAAATGTTGGGCAACAATGCTAGCAACAATTTTTATTGTACACTAAAGACATAAATCTCCCGCAACAACAAAAATTGTTGCGCAACATGTTGCTAGAATTTATGTTTCACACCAAAGACTTTATTTTTATGTGTTTACTAAATTAAAAAAAAAAATATTTCTCAAGAAAAAAAAATAAATGTTGCTAGAATTTTTTTTTGTACACTAAAGACAAATAATTTATTCTAACTAAAGTAGAAATACCAAATATTAAAAAATATTTGCCGAAACAACAAAAATTGTTGCGCAACATGTTGCTAGATTTTTTATTATACACTAAGGACTTTCTTATTATATTTGAACTAAATACTAAAAAATTATTACCACAACAAACAAAATATAAACAAAAAAATGTTGTGCAACTTTTTGTACATTGCTTTTGCTTTCGCAACAATTTTAATTTTTTTTTTTCATTGAAAATCTCCAACAACTAGCAAATACAATCGTTTCACATATGTTATGTATGCGCCAGTTGCGCAACATGTTTCTAAAAGTGCGCCACAAATAAAATTTTTACTGCCATACCACAAATCAAATGCCTCATATGCAATTCAACGGCATTTTTATAGCTTTGATTTAATTAAGTTTGCGCAATTTATGATTTTTTTTAGTCTCTGCCTCTTTTTCTCGCTTGCACTCAGTTTCCCAATAAACGGCCCAACAAGGAAATTCACCTATAAACGGAAAGCCAATGTAACTTTGATTTTGGTGGCAACAAGCGTGTTGCAAGCAGACAAGAGTTTGGCGGTGGCAAGCACAGCGCAATACCGAAGCGTATCAAGTCGTGCCGCCGCATACTTGTGGCCAATAGCCGCTAGCTGCAATGGCCAAAAGCAAGTTAATGCAGGTATCTAAGCTGTGCGGCGGTGGCGCGGCAAGCATGTATTGCTGGCTGACAAGTTATAGATACAGTTAGTTGGTGGTGCACAAACAAAGCCGGTTGGCCCAAAAGTGGCCGAAGGTAATTAGCTGTGCAATTGATGGATGAAAATGAATGCGCTGGCGTTTCACAGCCGCAGCAATGTTTGTGTGGCACGTATGTATACATGTGCATGTATGCAACTTTCGAGACGGGCGACCAGAGCAATGAAATGGTCAGACAGATGTTGTGTACAAGAGTTTGGTCGATCGATCAAAAGCAGCTGATACCGTTTTATTACTGCCACATAAGGTGCACGTACAACGATATGTAGTATGTGTGTGTGTGTGTGTGTGTGTGTGTTGCATGTTGCATGCAACGGCGGCAGGTTCAATGCGCTCCCGTACAAGCACCAGCTGCAAAGTCCGCAAAACACGCTCGTGCAAAAAGTTTATTAGAAATCGCTGGTACACATGTGCATGTGATGTTAGCAGGCAGCAGCAATGTGCAATACAAAAACAACAAACAGTAATAACTTTCAAGATTTTCACTTTCACTTATTGGCAGCGAAATTGCTGCTCGGCTGCACACCAGCGGCTGCTGCTGCAATAAAATGTTGTTGTTGTTGCAATAAATTGTTGTTGTTACAATGATTTATTGTTATTTTTGCAATGAGTTATTGTTGTTGCGCTAAAATGTTATAATTGCCAAGAGTTTTGTTGTTGTTACAATAACTTATTGTTATTGTTGCAATAAATTGTTGTTGTTGTTGTTGTTGTCACAATAAATTTTTTGTTGTTGTTGTTGCAATAAATTGAAGCTGTTGCCGTTATAAGAAAATGTTTGTTGTTACAATTGTTGTAATTGCAATAACTTTCTGCTATTGCTGCAATGCAATGCTGTAGTTGTTGTAAAAACTTATTGTTGTTGCAGCTTTATGTATGTTGCCATATCGTTTGTATTGCTTTGTATTCCAAGCAACAACACCTGCTGCTCATTTGTTGTTGTTATTATGAAAATTGTTATTGTTGTTGTTGTTGAGGATTTTCCATTTGCCGGATTACAACATGCAATCGACAGTAATTAATGTAATCGAAATGCATTAAATTGCAATTACTTTGCAGATTTTGCTTTTCTCACATTTCTCAATTTAATTTAAAAGCCCTTGTGAAGGGTGGATATTATAATATTATATATGTACATACATATACATATATGTATGTATGTAAATTTTTATATGAAAGCACAAACTATAAATATATATGTAATTAGCAATTTAATTAGTTGGCGGTTAATCTTGGTAACTAGTGTATAAAGGTTCCGATTTCGTCATATATGAAATTTTATACCCTGAACGTCGTATATTTAGTGTATATTATGTTTGTAAGATCCAGAAAGATACGCCAGAAACCCTATACAATAAATACGTATGTCTATAACAGATCAGCGCGACGATCTTAGTCTGTCCATCTGTATATACGCGAGCAAATCGCTCAGAGTTTGAGATATCGATATGAAATTTTGACCTGCTCATTTGTCGGCATCACCGATCACCTGACCAATCTATTTTTAAATACCATTTTATGCTTTAAAGAATGCAACTGTGAAGCATACTATAGTCTAAAAAGGTGACAATGCGGAAATCAAACCTGCTTATGGTAGGCAATATACCAAAGATCTGATGTCGAGAATCATATTTCAAAAGTGAGTTCTATGCGGAATAATGAGTTCCAGCAATAAATTACAAACTTGAAACTCTCCCATGAAAATTTTAGTTCACTTTCTTTGCGCTTAGAAGTGCCATTTAAATAGAGTTAGACATTGCAGTAACTTGAACTCTTGAATTGGCAATAGAAGTAAAATTTTATACAAATTTCCTACGTAACTCGAAGACTCTACCTCAAAGTTTTTTTTTTTGTTTTGTGAATTATGGTGATTCGAGTTAGAGAATTAATTTATGCTGCTGGTATCTTAGTCGGTTTATTGTAAGGAATGAACTTAAAAACAGTCTCATACACACGGAGTTCTAGTATTGCTCAGGCGATGCTGGGAAAGCAGAAAAACCACAGTTGAGTTTTAAAGCATAGACGTAGCCGTTTATAGTCGCCATAATTCAATAAGTCTGGGTAAAGTTTAGGTCTGGGAAAATCGAGATTTGAAGGACGCGAATGTCGGAGATAATACAAAATACAGTTGAACTTTCATAACTCGAGTTCTCCATAACTTGAATTCTTGAATTGGTGATGGAAGTCAAAGTTCATAGAAATTTCTTGCCATAATTCGAAAACTCTTTAACTCGAAGTATTTTGTGAATCACGGTGATGAGAGTTAGGGAAGTATGGAGTAATGTATTCATATATATGAATGTAAAGCGATCTCAGTCAGTCCTTCTATCCGTCTGTCTGAATATATGTACATATGTGAACTAGTTCTTCCTGATTCCTTGATTTATTTATTTGCTGTTCAAAATCAAGTTCTTGTAAGAAAACTTAAACCTATGAAGGCTTCTAAAGCTGCGAAGTAGACGAAGTTAATCTTTTTTTCTTGTCTTCATTAGCTATCGGCCCTCATCTCTCGGCATCTAGTATTATATTTTTGCCAGTGGTATTGCTGACTTTAAAATGTATGTCAACTGTAGAAATGTAAGGAGACGATTTAAGGGCAATTTAGGAAAACAGTGATGTGTTCGAAAAGGCTCTTATAAGATTCTTAGACAGCTGTAATTAGAAACTTCATTTTCCACATCTCCAAAAATATGAATATATGTATGTATTTAAAGTTATACGTATGTAAATATTATTGAAATCCCTTCAGGTCTATAAAATGTTGCTAGTAAGTAATGTAATCTGGCTTCAAGGCAATAAAGTTTTATTAACGTCTACAGCGCATAGAATTCTCACATAATCATAAAGGCAACATAGGCACACATACAGGAGCACATA